CTGAAGAAGGGCGGAGTGTACAATGGCCAAAACCTTGTGAATATGGCAATAAAGATGAGGACAACAAAAAGTTTCTTTTATATTTCAGATTTCACCCCAATATGGTTTTAACAACTGAAGAACCTGTATTTCTCCTTGAACACATATTTCGAGCAGGTAGTAGATACACAGATTTGATGCGACAGCATATTGATGATACATTTTCAGAAATACCTGTTCCACATCACAAATGCAGTTTGTAACCTTGTTGATAAATTTGGGATCATAATAAATAAACAGGATCAGTCAATGATGACAATCATTGTGGAAGGCCAGCAAAGCTATCAGAGGGGGAAGCTGTTGGATAACTCTGGCTGTATACAACATAGTCCAAGAAGAAAATCATTATGAAAGTTAACACAGCAGCAAGATATTGAAACTTCTCATAAGGTCATTAGACAAAAATTAAATCCATTCCTATAAAATAATAATGGTGGAAACAAATACTGAAAGCAACTGATCATGAAGAAAAGTGATAGAAAAAAATAAGGATCCAATCCTGTATTGATGTTAACAAGCATCACTTTCAACACTGTAATTTCATTCATATTCTCCTCCTGTTTTCTATATTGAAACATGTCTGTTAATCTATATATTAAATGCAAATGTCAGTATGTCACACTTTTTCAACTTTACTTCTAGAGTCTGTAGCCCAACATATAATACAATTTTGAAATCAGGCCAACTGTGAGCAAATAAAAACATTCTGGTCTGGATCCAAACCCACAATCCTGAAATTTTGGATTCTCAAGTTTTCATTACTGTGATTGTTTTCAGATTCTACCTTCTTGGTTTCCTACTGATAAAAACAATGAAAGGGACACTATTCACTAACTTTCAATAGCTCATGTTCAAATAAAATTATCTGTCTTTTCAACTTTACTCATAGAGGCTGTAGCCCAATATATCATACCATTTTTTAATCAAGCCCACTCCATGAGCAAATTAAAAACATTTTGGGCTGGATCCAGACCCACAACCCTGAATTTTTGGATTCCAACTTTTGCCCTCAACAAGTGGGGCCAAAAGAATTATCGTTGAACAATCAATTTGGAGTTCTTCTGTAGTTTATTGTTGTTTATTGCATCTACTCCTCCCTACCTGTTATGATGAAGATCAAATCAAGGACCCTTCACAGGATGGTGAATAGGGTGGCATTTAAGCCAGTAAAAATATAATAATAATATACTTTCCGAAAAACTTGTATGAAAAAAATAAATAAATATAAACAAATTAGAAAATAAAAATTCAACAACAATAATAACTTCATTTACTGACTTTTGTTTATTAAGCATTATTAAATTACATCACTTATCATTCTCCACAGTTTATTATTTACTTAATTTGTTCTTTTTTGTTCATTTGTTATTTTTTTTAGTTTATGTTGGCTTTATCTAAAAAGTATTTTACATTATGATTATGGGTTGTATGTAGTGCCTATATTTGGATTTCGCATGGTGATATGTTATAATGCATTCATTTTTATATATATATATATATATATATATATATATAAACGAATGCATTATATATATATATAAACGAATGCACTATAAAATATCACCATGCGAAATCCAAATATAGGCACTATATACAACGCACATATATATGTATATATATATTCGAGTAAATATTTATAATTACATATGCTCTATGTAAATATTTATAATTACATATGCTCTATTTCTGATAGATGCATTGTAACCATAAATATAACATATCTTATATTTTTATCATAATAATGGGTAGATAATTCTTTCACTAAAAATATGCAGTAATCTCCCTTATTAGTAATGGTTCAAGAAATTTTGTCAATATTGGTAGATTTCATGTAAGATATAAAATCTGCAAATGACGTGAATATATGAATTTTGTAATAATCGAAAACTTTATATAATCAGAATTTACTAGAGAATAAATATACAAAAAGTATGAGGATAAGATAATATTTAAGGCTGAGTTATCAATTATTTAGTGGTAAAATGAATTCTAGTTGTAATTGGTTACTTATGTAGTGGACCCCCTGGAGGAGGTGTGATGTAAAATGGCCTGTGCGCCCCAATAAGGCATAGATGTCACAAGAGGCACACTAACATTTTAAGTTACAGACGTGAAATTTGACAGGTGGAACAAAAATGGACAACAGAACGACAAGCTTAAAATTAATACAAAATTTATTTACATTGGCAACAAGAGCAGAGATTCGTTTAAAGGAACATGAGCAAAAGAAGCAAGAATCAAGTAATTGAGGCAGAATTGAGGAATACAGATCAGCTAGAATATCTAGATAATATAGCTGTGTAGAGTCTATGTAAGTCAAGTTAGGCATCCAAGTCCACAGTTTGAAAGGTGTTGAGTAGTTGTTGATCAAGTTCAATGGTTAACCTTCCATAGCAATTTTAACTGGAGGTGTATGGAATAGGTATTTGAAGTGTGGACAATATGCATGCAGCAATTTCCTAAACCAGCTAAAGAAGTAAGGTTGAGAAGAAAGCCAGAAGCAAAGCCATTAACTCTGATCAATCAGGTGAGTTAAATTGAGATAGAGATGCTGGAGGTACGGACCATAGTGTAGCTGGAAGTTTGGGGCTATTGGGAGATAAGTGTCCCTGGTTGCTGAAAGTAGCAAAGGCGATGAATGCCAGAAGTAAAGGCTCGAAATTCCGGAAGATAAGTGTCTCCTCCTCCTCATCTTGTCTTTCACTCTCTGCCATGGGTTTGGCAAGAAGTAGCCAGGTTATATAGAAAGGGTGTGTAAACATTAACTGGAATACAATGAAGAAAAGGTCAAGGTCATGAAGACATAATGTCTGCCCTTGTTCACATGGACGGAGTAGCAAAGAGCTACAATACTTGACTTCCATGAGATGTGTAAGATAAGTATTGGGTTTGTAAAGAGCATAAGGAAGGTAGTAAGAAAAGGGTAAAAAGGTGTTTTTGCATAATGATGCTAATAAAGTGTAGCAACGAAAATAGCAAATTACCTCATCAAACCAAATGATAGTGTGTCATGTGTATTCTACATCAGAAAGTGTGATGAAAAAGTAAGTTAGTTACAGAGAAAAAGGGCATGTGTTCTATCCAAAATAGAAACAAGTCAGTCACAGGTGTTGCCATAAATGCATCTCGGATATGCTAATATTGTGGCGTCTCCCACCTGACGTTCAATGAAGAAATTGTTCCGTCGATAAAAGCAGTTGGTGTTCAGAAATTGGGGAAACCAAATTTGTTTATTTTGCTACTTCATCTATTGGCTGGTGTATTGGGATTTGTGATACTGGACCTGTGAATCGTGATTTTGACATTTCTTTCTGCCCTGTAACTTCAAGTTTGGACTTGCGATTTGTTAACTTCATTGTGGAAGTGAGCTGCCATATCAATTTTTGAACATAAAGTCAACTTAATGTTAACAAAAAATTAGCACATTAAGATTGGCTACCATTTCCAAAAGCTAAAGTATTAAGAAACAGAAAAATTTCATTAGAAAAAAGAAAAACAGTGGTAAAATTCTATGTAATATCAATCTTCCTATATGGCAGTGAATACTGGATGATTTCCTCACAGATGAAGAAGAGACTTCAGACAACTGATGTTCTTCTACAGAAGGATGTTGGGAATACCAAAGATCAAGCATGTGAATAACAAGTAAGTTTTAAGGAAAATGGAAATGTTTTGTCATGTGAAGTTCTCACAAGTATGCAGTGTAGTCAAGGAAAGATAACTCCACTCACAAGTGTAGAAACCTTTCAATCTAATTTGCATATCACTGCATCTCCCGGAAGCTTTATGACTTTCATAGATCTTCTACTTCTATGAACCACTTCAGATGTACCGATTGTCTCATGGTGATTGCTTAATTCCTCTTTATGAGGGATCTTGGTCTTACCAGTTTTCCTTCATTTGAACCTTCCTCATATTCCAAATTATCACTAGACACACTGATTCTCTCATCCCCTTCACTCTCAAATTCTCAGTGATAATCCTGATCCCTCTCTTCTGTGCCAGGCCCTTCCTCCATTTCAATATTTCCTGGCTCTCTTCGCAATCTAAACTGGTCTTCATGAGCTAACACACCCTGTTTATTTTTTGTTAATATTACTGTATTAAATCTTTTTTGCACTACAAATTGTGCTTTTTCAGGATTTGAATCCTTATTCCTTTTATACCATACATTTTCATTTGTTGAGAAAGACATGGTTTATTGAATCTCAATTTTCCTTCCTATCAATGCCAAGGAGCTTTGTGCTTTGTTTGCATGCATGATTTCGTAGTGTTTCTTATTGTCTTACACACTTTTTTCTTTATTTTTACATTCAGAATGCTTTAAAAATTCCATTTACAAGACAATTGTTTATAATAAAATTCTATTCAATTGGTAGACTCATAACGATTGAAAACAATGTTTTTGTTTAAGTTTGGGTTTGTAAAAAAAAATTGTAAAAAACAAAAAACAAAACAAAAAACAAAACAAAAAACAAATTAAGACATGCGTGTCCATCAACCTTAAACAATAATCTTTGTCAATTTTATTTTTCAGTCTTTATGATAGTCGATACTTGATCTATCTCTTACTGTTACATCCCCGGGCAACGCCGGGCTCTACTGCTAGTTTATTATATAAAGAAGAAAAAAGGTGAGATAATTGAAATTTTTCATGGAAAAAGAGTGACAAGCATTTTCGCATTTATCATATAAGATAAAAAAGGTTAGATAATTGAAAGTTAGAGAGTTGTGTCCCTTTGACTATAAAGCGTGACAGATTTTTTTTTCATTTTTATATAAGATGGTGTCTTCCACTGAAGTACAGCACAAAGTTGTATAATTTTTACTGGCTATGGAAGGACTAGTACCTGAGGCTCATAGTCTATAGGCAATGTGGTTACCATATACAACAATATAGCATAATACAACTTTTCCAAAGTCTCAAACGCTTACATGTATAATTAACATGTATAATTTTTATGCTTCCTTGTCTGAAGAACTTTTCAGTGAGTCAGCACTTCCTGTATTGGTGACTGGCTAATTTATAACAAGCTTCATTGTTCTCTATCATACTTGCCTGAACCAATCAGTTTTGAGCTTCCGGAAGCTATCTCCTCAAGCAAAACCTCATCTTGGGAAGGGACTAGGGTTATTACCCAGTGTCTGAGGCCTCCTCAAAAGAAGCAATTTTTGTACAGTTACCAAATACTACTTTAAACCTTGACCTTATGTCACATTCTGTGCAAGTTGGGACATGGCATAATGCCTTTTGACCTGGCCCAGCCAGGCTGGGAGGGTGAGGATCAGAATTAATATGATGCTCTAGCCTTAGAGAATTGTCCCCTTAGGTATTACTTCTTTGGGAGGGGACTGAAGCATCCCCAGATGGAATGTGCCAAGGAGGCTTCAGCAATTTATGTACAGCTACCTCATTTTACTTAAAATCTCTATCTTGTGTCACATTCTGTGTGAGGGTTTATGAATAAATACCTATTTCCCTGTCTCAGCTGAGTTGAGATATTTGAAAATTATTATTGTGTACTTGAGCCCCAGAGGCCATCTCCTCAGTCTGCCTCTGCTTCAGGAGGGGACCAAGATTACCACATGGTACTTAAGGCACACCCAAAAAGATGATCAATTTTTGTATGTCCACTTAAAACTTGATTTTGCCATATCCAGTTTGTTTATTAAACAGGTTTAGAATCAGTGGAATTATCTGTCACATTTGGAATATCCATTTAACTTAAAAAAAGATTAATGATAATTCAGGTTTGAAAATATGAAACCTAAGATATTTATTTTAAAATGTTTTGCAATATCAAGATAATTTACATGTTTGCAATAAAATCCCATTATCATTTTATGACATTTAGTTTGTTAAAATATTATTTCATTAAATTAAATGACATATTGATAAAATGTAGTTTAAAATATTATTTCATGACTAGAAGTTAAATGTGACTTTTATATAAGGTAAATTAAAATATCATTTTATTAAAAAGGTAATATCTATTTTAAATGAAAATATTACTTATTATGACGTTTTTTCTCTATGACATTTTTATCTATCATAACTTCATGCCAAATGTGACCATCTCTCCTCCCCCATAGCTGAAGAAGAGATACATTTCCCTTTCAATGAAGTGAATCTTCTTCTATGCTTCACCAAGACATGACCAGTCATGGCTTTCCAAAATTTCCTATCCCTTGTGACTCTTAGCAGTTTGTCTCCCTTTGCTTTCTGTCATCCTTTCACACAAGCTCATCAGGGAGGAGAACTTACTGCCTTCCCTTATCTCTCATGCTCTCAGTATACCCTGTGAGGGTTAAGTCTTCCAAGCCCTCCTTTCTCATTATGTGTCCAAGAAATTTCAGCTTTCTCTTCCTGATTCTGAGTATAAGTGTTCTTTTTGTTACCATTTTCTTTAAGACTTCTTCGTTCCTTACTTGTTCCACCCATGGAAATCTCACTATCCTCCTGTAGACCCACATTTCTGTTGCCTCCAGTTTCTCTTCATCCATAAGGAGGAGATTGTACAGCATCTGCTACCATATAAGAAGATAGCAATCCAACACTCTTTTCTTTGGTTCTAACAAAATTTTTGTTTCTCAGCACTTTGCTTATCTTTTGGAATGCATGTTTTACTAATCCAATCCATGTTTGGATTTCAGTGTCACATTTTTTATCCTCTATTAATACACTTTCTAGATGTTTAAACTTCTTTACTTGCTTGATGTTGACATCTCCAACTTGGATCTTGGGATTTTTCTCTTGCTGATGACCATATTTTCTGTTTTCTTGCAGTTGATAGTTATTTTTTTCGCTTTCCTTTACTATTGTCAAGATTACACCCACCAACAATAAATCCTGGTAGGGTTTCCAGCTCTCTTAGGATAGCTTCATTGTAGAGTTTGAATAAATCTGTGCAGAAGATACAACCTTGTCTTATGCCCCTTTTTATTTTGGTATAGCTACTCAATTCATTTTCTATCTATACAGACTGTTTTTTCCCAGTATAAGTTCTGGATTATTTTAACATCCTTTACAAATAGATCTAGTTTTCCTAACAGTTCAAACAGATCTTTGTTTTCGTACCTTGTCAAATGCTTTTACTTAATCTATAAAAGATAAGTGCATGTTCTTCTGCATTTGTATTGCTCTCTCTGATATCATTTTAATCACAGTGTCCTTGACAAAACCACACTCTTCTTCTGTTTCCAGTTCAACTCTGGTTTGTGCTCTATTCAAGATTTGCATCATTAGTTTGGTTATGTGGTACATTAAATTGATTACCCATTTGCATCTTAAGTAATGTTATGAACATTTTTTAACCTTTTTTTTTTTTATAATTACATAATCAATTTGGTTCTTTATCTCATCCCAGGCTGCTCCATCTCCACAGGTATGTTAGGTGCTCCTGAAACCAGGTGTTAGTAATTATTTAATTGTGTACAGCACTGGACCCATCTTTTGTTGCACTTGTTTTGGGGTCCTAATCTGAACTTGCCAACTATTTCCCTTATTTTGACTCATATGCATATGTATGTGTATGGCACACCCCATGTAAAAACCTTCTGTCACATCCTGCTTTAGTTGGGAGAACGGGTAAATATACCTAAAATAAAGTGAATACAAGGTCAGAATTTTAACATGTTTGTCAATTCTGCTTTCCCTCCCAAAACTGTTACAAAACCTCAAATCCTTGAACTAGGCGAGCCCTGGGCAGTGCTTAAAGCTCTATCTTATAAACATTTGCTTTTTTTTCTACCTACATTTATATATGTTACAAATTAAACTAAGCGCAACTGGCTATTAAAAGATGAAAATTTTTTGCAGATTTTGATGCCATCCTGGGGTCTTTTTAAAAAATCTAAATCCATGACTTTCTTTTAAGTCTAAAAAAACACTAAAATTCACTAATTTTTTATCCATAATGCTGAATGTGTTAGTTAAAAATTATTCAACTTTTTTAACAAGAAAAATCTCAAGTTGATATTAAAAATTGCCACAAAATATTAATTATTTATGTAAAATAGAATTATCTTATGACGTGTCTATTTATATTTAGATACTACTAGATACGTATTTTCAGTTTTTCTGCTTACTTGAAATGCTCACGTATCTGATCCATTATTGTACAAATTTGTATTTTATGACTACTTCAATACTACCATATGAAAATTGAGATGTAGTAGAGTGGGGGAGAGCCCTGTTTTATAAAGATTCAGTGGTAGGGAGCGTGAACGTTGCACTGGTCCTGCACTTACCGGCGAATCAATTTTAATAACGGCTTTCGTTTAAAAATCTTTCCGGAAATAATAAAATGAAACTGAAATGTAAAAAATCCCTTTGGAAATTTCCGCCCCCCCCAAAATTTATTTTTTATGAGTGTACCGATGTGATTTTTTTCCGGTAAAAAAAGTGTCTTACAATCTTCCGTAAGTATGCAATTTTGTACACTACTTTTTTATGTCTCAATTTTTTAGTAAAAAAAATTTTTTTAAAGACAACCAGTAATCTTCGTGCGTCGACATGCTCCAATCCATGCTATCGTTCTAATAGAGGTGCAGTTTATTTTTTTGTTTTAACTTTGTTTACGTTTAGCTGTAGGAGACGGGTTTTTTGTTGCGTACATAGCAACAATGTGGTGTAATAATAATCTCCGTCGGTTATCATTAACCGTTAATGATTTGGTTTTGTTTGAAAGAATAGTCAATCCGTAAAAAAAATTAATCTAAAAATAATTTTAAACCTTTAAATAAAGATTTTCGTCATTTTTAAAACAAAAACTAAAAAGTGTACTAGAGTTAAAGTAACTCACTTCCGCGTTAGATTTTTTGCTATGATGAAATGAAATGAAATGTTATTTTAGGATTTTTTAAAAATTAATGAAGAATAAATTGTACAATGTAATGTCGATTTTTTTTTTTTTTTTTTTGTAAAAACAACCTATGCAAATATTTGAGGTAAAATGGGCAACATTCAACAACAAAGACCTACAACACGAGCCGAGTTTAAACATACACACACACACACAAATTACAATTGCTGCATAACAAAATCCCCAGAAAAGAAAATTAAAAATGAAAAACACTTCACTGAAGTTTTCAAGGAATAATTTGGTACAATTTTTGAAGCAAATTTCGTGGAAACAGCGACAAAAAAAACAAAAAAAAAAAAAATCAAGCACACCAGCCGAAGACTTTCCCTTGAAGTGGGAGCGACTTTGATGTTCCTTTTTCAAGTTTCAATTCTCGTCTGGTAGTTGTCTCTAAAAATTCTACGTTATTTTCTTTCTGGGCCGATGTAACATGGATTCCTAGAGCAGCTGTTCGTTGACTCCGAAAACCAAATCCAATGTCACCCTTCTTCAGGTAGGTTCCAAATACACGCTTTGAGGGAAACAAGTGCCTCATCGCAGCGTCTACTTTCGCTCTGAAAACCTGATGTGTGGGGTTTAACGGTTTTTACAATTATCTCGTTTATTACACACAGTACTTGTGGGGGATATTGGATAGGGACTTTAGATTGGATGTGATTTTTTGGTGTTTTTGTAGGTTTACTAAACTTACACTACGGATATCTTCGAATAACGTCCTTATCCCAACACTATATTTGACTCTGTAAAATAATTAGTACAAAGATACGTTTCTTACATACATGTAAAATTTTATTTTTATATCTTAAACTTACTTAAACCATACAATATGGCAGGTTCGTGTGTTGAACGTCTATGCTGTTTTCCAGCGAAAAAGTGGGGTACCCAAGTCCTTTAGTGTAGAAGATAGTCTTTTTTTTTTTTTTTTTTTTTTTGCAAATGAATGTTGAAATTTTAAAAATAGTGTTATGTATTTGGTTGGTTGTAAAATCCTTTCGACTCTGGATTTGAGGATCTAAGGTATGAGAACGGGCAATTAATTTCATCGATTCCTTGGTTCCTTTGAGTTTGATAGTTTCTTTGTGTTTAGTTTATATTTTTTAATTTTCCGAGACAAAGGTGTTGCGGGGCCGATAAGGATGTCGCCCCGCAAGCTTTTAGAAGAAAGGTGTGAACTGAACAGAAGACAATGAGGGAAAAAAGGCAGAGGTTTAAAAATAATAAACGTCGATTTTTATTCAAAAAATGTACAAGAGTGTACGGTCTGGAGAAATATGTTTGTATCAGTACCGGGACCGATATGATTAATTTCCTTCAGGGGAAGTTGTTTCGGTTGTATCGGCAGCGGTAGCAGGTCGACTGCCGGATGGGAGAATTGTCGGCGACAGTAGCTGGTTGATCGATGACGCACGTAGATTCGTTGGGTCGGTTAGGACGAGTCCCTAAACAGGGCCGCTCTCGACGAAGCACCGGAAGCTCACAAAGGTAGCGTATGGAACCCTCCACATTTGCCTGTCACCCCCCTATGGGAAGATGCACTCTTCTACAAATAAACCTTTAACCAATCATCACTTTACTTTTCCAAACTCAATCCCCCATTGGTTAAAAGGACACTAAAATGTAGCAAAGTTGAGATAAACCTTTTTTCCCGCGCAGCTCCCTGGAGCCTATTTGGAAACTCGAAAATCTATAAAGGATTGATTGGTGATGGATGAGTTTTTGTGGTGAATGGGCAAATTGTAATGAGTGAACGGGTCGTGAATCGGATTAGCTAGGTATAGGATAGTCAGTTAAGACTTTTTCGGCCTTGTGCCATAATTGTATTCTGTACAATAAATATCGTCAGACGCTGAGTTTCGAGAGATACCAGCAGACCCCACGCGTGCCAACACACTGACTCAAAAACCAACCAACCTCTCAACACAACTCGCACAACTATTGAAGAAACTTAACTTACAATTTACTAAAAAGTGACATTATCACTACAAAACAGTAATTGTACATTCAATCAACTTTAGGCGAACAACTAACTCTTCATAACTTAAATCAACATTAGCAGTTGTCACACACATAAACACTATCACTTGAACTTACACAATTGACAATTTTCCTTGCAGATATCAAACTATTTTAATTCCACAAACAAACTTAAGCTATAAAGCTTTACTCGCTAAATTTCTGCATGGACAATCTTTGTAACTTTATCTCACTTGCCACATTTAACAAGCAACTTATTATCACTTTGTGTATGTCATATATATATATATATATATAAATTCACGTTATTGTTGAAATCTCTAATGACGTTGTTTTCAGTAATTTCTTAAAGTTGAATTGTCTATTTTTGTTTGATTTATTTGTTTTGGATAAATTACGATCATGCACATTCTTGGCCTTCACAAAAAAATCACCTTCTGATACATCTTACTCAGCATAGATTCCGCAACAAGCGTACTACATTTTGATCCAAACCACCGGGCCGATATTTATTATGTAAAAAACTAAAAATACATAATTGTGGCACAAGGCCATAAAGGGGGAGGAGTTGAGGCTAGTCATCACTAACTATCTTATACCTAGCTAATCCGATTCACGACCCATTCACTCATTACAATTTTCGCATTCACCATAAAAATTCGTCCGTCACCAATCGATCCTCCATACACCATAATACCACATTCTCTCAAGGGGAATCTACAAAACGCGCCCCATGCCATAAAAATTTGATGATAATATACCTGGGTTTGGATGAAAAAACAATGGGCTAACAATATGTGGAACGATTTTTTCAAGTACTCCCTGGCTAGATGGAGTAGAAAACCGTAGATATAAAATTACTCCATGTTGTTGGGAAGCACTACCTAATCCGATGCTCACGAGGTACGGTTTTGAACTCAACTATATTGGGCCAATCGTCCAGTTTCTCGCACGCTGCTGGACTTAAATCTGGGTTGTGAAGGCCAAGGTCGTTTTTCTAATGCGCGGCTAATGGCGGCCGCAACAAAAGAATTAATTTCAGAATTGTCTCTTGCTTTCTGATTTGATTCACAGGTGACTCATTTTGACAATTCCTTTTTTGACCTACATTTTACTAGGAATGATGACTTTTTAGCTTTTTTTTTATATAAAAAAAGAAGCAGCTATTTTAATTACCAAAATAAACAGCCACAGCTCCAATTTTCAAATAACTGAATTCAGAATTGTGTTGAAGTTGAAGTAAACTAAACAGTTCAAAACGTGCTAAAACAGTAGTTAACACATTCGACAAATTTAAGTTGTATAAAATAAAAAATATGTAAATTATACGATTATTTTGTAAATAAAACCCTACGAAATCATAACGAGAACAAAAAAAAAAATGCCACTCCGTAAATAATGATTTTTTTTTTTACTTTCTTTTGTTTATGATAAACACTAGTGACTAAACAGTTTATCGAATGCTGGAATAAAAAATTAATTCATCATAAATTGTTTTTTGTGTGACATCATGAATTATTCATGTCATGTGTTTTACTTTTATCTCGTGAGTTCAGATGTGGTTTCCGTTTTAGATGTTGAAAGATTTTCTTTTTTATCCAAATTATTAAGAGTTTAAAATTTAATTTAAATGTTTCCATCGTTACCAGGTACCACATCAACTACTCTACCTAACGACCAATAGGGTATGTTAGCTGGGTTTTATGAGAAATACATCATCAACCTTTAATATTCCTAAAATCTTTGATATAATTCTCGAGATTGTACTCTTAAAATCAACAAGTAATCTTCATGCCACAATTTGTGGAATCTATCAAGAAGATCCCTTTTCTCCAGACTGTTCAAAAGATCCATTCTGTTAGGTACATCAATGTAAAAAAATAATCTTTAATATTCAAGAACACAGTTGTTATAATGGGGATAAAGAAAAGCATTAGGGGAAATAACTTCAAGATTGTAATCCCCTGAATGTAAGTGTACGAGTATTATTAACTAACTAACTAACAGAATTTGTATGTCAGACAACACGGTAAGCAATTCAAATTAAGTAGCCTCTCTCGTCCCAAATGCTACCAAACCATTCAGACGACAAAGGAATCGTTAACTGTTTAAAGAGCTAAAAAAATTCACCCTCCTTCATATTCATCAGAAATAAATACTTACTTGTGACTTGTCTCAAGTTACACCTGAAATAGGAACGTGCATTGTCAGAGTATACATGGGAAGGTACTTCCATAATGAAACACTAACAGTGAAATGACAAAATCTAGGTAATAAGATAGGATGCAAGTACAACACCTCAGGTGTATAAAGATGAGATTCTCTTACTTTACATAATCTAATCAACCTGTCACCGTCCAAAAACATTTAAATTAGCAAGCAGGGAGGGTACGTCTTGGTTGGAAGGGTTTTTAAAAGAAATATTTTTCTTTAGGGAGAAATAAAGACTGCGTTAATTTTAATTTTATCAAATACAACCTAGCAGCCAAAACAGGATCTAAGTTTGATTTCTTCAAGGAATAAACAAGCCAAAAACCATATGAAATAAATGTAAAGAAACCTGATGTTCTGGTTAAACATTTG